AAAGAGTGTTGATTAATTAAAAAGACACTAATCTCGTTTACAAATGAGGGAACTGTAGGCAGAGGAAAATGAAATATGAAAACCTTCTATTCCCAGCTGGATGCTTTTGATATTAAGTGGAAATGGAAGATAAGAATAAACACAAAGCATTACCTTCTCAGTCTCATGCTCCAAATAGCATTAAGCATTGATCCAAGAGTGAAAAATCTGCACAGTACACAAGCTACTGAAATATTTCAGATCTGCACAAGTTTAATGAAGCTGAGTGTATCCCTAGACACAAGGTAACAATGTCAATATGAAATCCAAACAGAAAGAAAACCAGCAAGCTGCTTACTGTAGCTGTAGCCAAGATAAATGAAAAGGAAAATGTTTTAACAGAACAAAAAGCTGTGAGTTAAATACGAGGACTAACCAAGACAAACAGTGGATATTTTAGAATCAGCTGATTAGTCTAAGTCATAGAAAGATAAAACTATGTGCAATTACAGTTGAAATAATGCTACCTTAGTAGGGCATATTCAACAGACCTTTTGCAGTTCCTCTGTGTGGCTCCTGTTGCTTTCAGTGGAAATGAGGAGCGTGAATACTTGTCATCATCTGGGCTTTTTCTATTCTGTGCTTCCATCCCAGCAATGCTCTTTGCCTATCTATTCGTGTTAAGTGTCCCTGGTAAGCAGGGGAGTGTCCTTACTTTCCATCAAAACATTGTTCTTTCCTGATGTCTCCTCCCTTGAGGTAAGAGCTTGCTGAGAGCTTCTGGTAGATTTCAGTAAAACTTTATACATTGACATTTGCCATCTTCATGTAGCAAGATAACATCACAAGAAATCATCAGCAGGTTTTTTCCATGCTAATTCAGCAGTGCCTATAGAATATTCCAATTCATATGAATTAAAACCAGGCAATACGTGAGGAAAAAGAATACCAGATTTATTGGATAAGTTTATCTGAATCTTATATCAGGAGTTTGGTTGTCGTCATTTCATTTTGATCATGTCCGAACTTTTCTATTCGTTATTGAGTAAACTGGATCTTCACATCCCACATGGGCTTTTAAGAAAACTCTCAGAGTTGCTCTGTGTGACAGAGTGGAATCATACCCTAATTTATTAGAAGATGCTACAGTGCTTTTTCATAGTTCCTGGTGTTCTAGATTGGCATCTTGAACTCCAAATAAAAATAATATCAGTCTAGTTTTCTACATTTCATTTGGATTGGACTAGCCTAGGAGGACAATGAAGTGGTAATTTTATGAAGAGTAAAGAACAAGTAAAAATATATTTCTAGCTTGTTTACTGACTCTGTTTAAAAATTTGAAATCATAATAAAATAAATTTGTCTTCATCCTACTTTGGTACAAAATTTTGATACTGACTTAATGCTTTCTTTGATCATCTACCAGACAAAGAATTACAGTGACAAATATTTAGTAATTCAAAATATGTAATAAATATTTCTGCCAACACTTGCAGAGCTGACCTATTTTACCTACAGGGAGAATGTATTTCTTTCAGTGAGCATCCTGTTACCCTTACCAGTGGACGCAGGTTTTCTGCAGGACAGTTTTCTGTTAAGGAGCATGCAAAGTCTCAGGGACCTGTCAGCATGTTGTTAATGTATCTAGCCTATTAAAAGAAAATAGAAGAGAGAAGGAAGATGTGAGAACTAGTTTAAAATGAAAGGAAGAATGAATAAACCTTTTTAGATCTGCCTCAAGATCTACTGTATGTGTACAACTGATTGTATGTGTTTGGTAGACATTCTAGGTGTCTGGCAGCAGATCCCAATGTAAAGAAATAGGATGGTAGATTACTGCTAAATGCAATAGTTGCCACCTAAGCTGGTAGAACTGACAGATCTGAATGATGAGCAAATAAACGGGTTGGATGGAAGGAATAACTAGCAGTATCACTAATTCATAACAAAACACAAAAAAGGCAGAAATTCTAAAGATGTTTTCGTACTCCTTTGCTTCTGTGCCCTCAGATTCCAGTTGTTACTGTTGTTCCATGCTCCAGGTTACCTATTAACACTAGGAAAACCTGGATTTTTCTTATTTCCCAATTCTGAAATGAAACTAAACCCAAAATCTGGAATAAATAAGGTCAGTCCAGTTGTTTTGTTTCCATCTCTGTGAAATACTGCGTTCCAATCCTTACTTTTTAAAAATAATTTTTTATATAATGAAACAAAGATTTTTGTTTTAAACAGTCATTTAGAAATCAAAATATTTTCTTTGGAAAACACAGGAATACGGTATTTCAGCATTCTAGAAATATGTGATTCCATTTTTTTCCAAATGAAATGGTATTTGATGGATTGTAATAGTTTAGGCAAGATCAACATTCCTCAGGACCAGTTTATCAGTAATACTTCCCTGGACAAATTCTTGGTTGGCAATTAGCCTAAAAGCACAGGAGTAGCTTTAAATCATCTCCCAAGGGCTTGAAGGGTCTTTTACCTTCCACGAGTTGGACTATGTAGTGATTATTCAAAAGATCTTTTAAACTTCACTTTTCTAGAGAAGTGTTGAGAAAATGAATAGAATAAAAAGAAACTCATCAGCTTAGATTTCCCACCCTACTTCAACACTTGAAATTACGGAGGTGACATCAGTGAACATGGTGACCACATTGTTAGAGCTCTATATTAATTTCTTTGGTCTGGTGACTCATCTCTCTGTGTCTGAAGCAGTATGTAGGTCAGTCTTCAATGTCTTGTCTTACATTCAAAAAGCTAATTTATTCCCATGGGCTATGTTTACAGGACAGGTATGTATTTATTTTCTCACTGATAAGAAAGATGTGGCTTTATGATCAGGCTTGTGCTGCATTGCCTGGCTGGATGCTGGTTTTCTCTTTGCCTCTCCCTTATAACATTACTGATATTCCTTGTGTGGGATGAAATCTTTTCTATTAGGCTGTTTTTGAAATACATTAAATATCCCGTAGAATTTCAAAAACTTGTTTCTTGTTATCTACAAACGTCTCTTGTTTGTATATTGTTTTCATCTGAATAGAGGTGGTTTGCATTTTAAAGGATTCTCATGTTAGTTATGTGTGCCTTTATCCAAGTAATAATTAACAACATATCTTCTGATGTGTCCATATTTTGCTGTTATAACTGTGCAAAGCTAACCTGGGAACATCTATAAACACATTCACATTTCACAGGAAGCAAAAGTAACACATTACTTGAAAGAAATTCAATCAAAAATCGTAATAGAAGATTTGATCTCGGAGATGACTGTAAGTCCCACACTTTTTTCAACTGTTGTAATGTATAATTGTACAAGTTTGAAAGGCTACCTTCAGGCTTGGTGCTCTGCTGCTAGAAGTGAGAGAAATTTTATTTATAACTGGTTATTATAGGAAATTAGAACTTAGGAATCTATTAAATACCTAAATAATTTTCTTGTCATTACAATTTATTCTTGCATCTTCATTAGATTTTTATAAATATGCTGGCAACTCAGTGAGTTCTTCCTCTCATCCTTGGGGAATTATTGTGTAAAGACTACCTCACACATAAAGAGCTCGTATCAGCTGAACCTGCACCTATTTCCTCAAGCTACCACTTGAGACAAAAGATTTGGCTTCACATGCAAGACAAGTGACATTTTTTTTGACAGGGGCTAAAATCTTCTAAGATGATCAACACTGCCAGCTCTTATGCAGTAAATGCTTAAGCATGTGGGGGGTGTATTTGTGTACAGGAAGTGCATGCTACAGTGTAAAGGAAGTGTTTGTGGTTTGGCCCAGTTGATGGATAAAAGCATGAGCTGTTGAAGGGGGCCATCTCTACCTGGGGATCCTGACATTGCCTGCATTAGTGGAAATGAAATGAATTTCTTGGGCACAGGACTTCCAGCTTGATTTCAGGCTCCCCTTTTAATGACTATGCACTGCTGTCAGAGCCATTCTGGGCTGAAAACATTGATGCTTTTCTGTGATGACAAGTAGCTGCTGATTATAATGATATTGTAATGATATATTCTGGCATTCATTTAATATGAGCAGGATTATGCCTTGTTTTTTCAGTTATGTGGATGCTCTGTTCTAAGGTTTGTTTTTTTTAATAGATGTTTAATTAAAGACTGGGCAATACTTGGATAATAAAACATCTATGCAGTGACATGCACTGAAAGCAGGTTGCTACCCATGGCCGTGCAAGGAGTAGAGCACATGTTCTGCTTGCTGCCTGGGTACACATAAGTGACAAGACCTGAGAAAAATCATTCCCCTTCTAACTTTTTTACGGTGGCTACACACCCCAGAATAGGGTCTCTGTGGCAAACAGAAATGTTCTTCTCTGCTAGCTCTTTGGGACAGACATGCTCAATTTCCCTCCACCACTTAAGTGTACGTGGGGCTATTTGCATGCTGAAAGTCAAATAAGTGCTACTGCATAGGAGCACGAGTCAGCCTACAATCATCAAGTCCCTCTGCAGAGTAGGGAAATGTTTTTGCAGAAGAGAAGAACAGAAACACAAAAGCACTGCTCGTAGTACAAGCTGAAGAGTAGACCTGGGCCTGCTGAAACACGTCCTCTGTATGCTTTCTACACCACGTTGCCAGATGTAAAGCATTGGCAGCATGTTTAGGCAACAACTGGATTCTGGCTATCTGCTTGTGGCTCACATATCCCAACCCCACCTGGGGCTTCCCCATCTCATCAGCGGTGTGAGTGTAGGCCCCTTAGGGGGGATTAAATCTGTTTCAGGTGATCCATGATTCAGGCTGAAGTAGGTTAGCATGGGGGCCTGAGACATGGTCGAGCTGTGGACCAGCACTGATCTGACTCTGTAGATGTATCCAGAAGGAATAAACTTTGCAGGATGCAGCGCAGTGCAGAGGTTCCTAGGCTGGCTGTGAAAACAGAAGCGGTACAGCTGTGTTAGCACACTGCTTCTTATTGCCTAACTCTTTGCAGGGCTTATTCACCTCAGGGGAGAGCCATGCTAGCATGGCTGTACTCTTCCTCTCATCATAACAGCCCCCTTCAGGTAATGCCTGTGTGGCACAGAGGGCCTGGCCGAAGGTAAGAGAGAAAGCTTGTGGCAAACTGGGGAACTTAATCTGGTCTGTTTAGGGACATAACCGCTCTGTTAACCAATCACTTTACTCAGCTTTCCTGGTAGTTAGTACACCAGCTATGTTTTGAGTTCTTTTTTTCAGAAAGTAAGTTTTCAATTAGCCGTATCTAAATATTTAACTGCATTGCACACTACCCTGAAATATATTCTATGATATATGTGTATGTATATATATAGTGTACCTACATGTGTGTATTTATACGTAAGATGTTGAGCTAATTTTAGAGTATGAACTTGTAGAGTTTGTGTTCCACATTCCCATTCCTCAGATTGTAAACTTCCTGCAAGATCAGGATCTAAGTATTGGAAAGGGATCAACATAGTATCCCAGTTGTGCTGTGTTTGGTTGCTCCTATTGCCACAGTTTACTTAGGATACAAGTGGAAACGTATTTTTAGTTAGCTGAGTGTATTTTGATCCATGTTTCATGGTGTTCTTGTTATGTAGCACATTACAGAATTCTAAGCTCTTGAAAAGTCAAAGGCAGAGCTTTATGAAGATACTATAATATCCTTTAGAGTTAGATAGTTTATGTGGACACATGGCTAGAAACAAGTTTTGTTCCATACCAAGTCATTTATCTCAGCAAAGGTAAATGATTTTCAGATTAATGGATACTTGCATGAGCATGGTTCCTAGTACATTAAAATGAGCATTGACATATTTATATGCCAATTGGACTACCATCAAAGTGGTCTCCAGTGTCTAGTCAAAAGAAAATGTTTCAGAATGAGGTGTCCAGACTGTTTGTTCATGTAAATCCAACAAGGATTCCATCTCCTCTCTAACTTCAGAATGAATGTAATCAGCCAAAGGTTTTTACCAAAGGTAAATTTAGACCAGTGGCAACTTTGTAGCGGCAAGCAAGCAAGTGGATGCTACTGCATTAACTGCAATATTATTATGCTCTTATCTAAGACTTCTGAAATAATCAAGAAGAAAACATTATTCTTAATATTTTTAGGGATTGATACAACAATCAGTTCCATACAGATTTTGGAAACTCAGCAAAGCATTGACAGTCGCTATTGTAGTAGAAATCTACAGTGCAGGTAGGTAAATTGTTTTATTATGCTATATTGTGGCGGGATGGAAGTACCATAAATGTGACCTGGCTACTTGACTGGCTCCTTCTCACAGTTTTGTTTAGTGAACATGAGCTTTTTCTACATTTTCTCATTTTTTATTTTCTAAATTTAAAAGCAATTTCCATATTTTTGCAAAGGCACTATCTATATTGAAATTATATGTGCATTAATATCACCTTTTATCAGGTCTGGAAATTACAGCTATGTTATTCCCATTGACAAATACACACCCACAAATGTAGAAATCTCACTGGAAATCAAGTAAGTACAATTAAAGATAATGCATCAATAACAAGATAGTGATTCATTTTTTGATACTGTTTTTTTAGGTTTAAGGTTTAAAGAAGTTAATATAAATTTCTAGATTTATCTTAATGACTGTAAAGATCACCCAGATTTCCAAATGCAAAAATTCCTCCATTCATGAGAGGGAATGGGGTAAGTTTAGAGGTTGGTGGCTCAGTTTTTTTTTCCTTCATATCAACCAATTAAGTAATTTCCTCTGCTTTATTTCTCCATAATTAGTATTTTGTTCCACTGCTTGGATTTTTTTGGTATTATTTATATTGTATTGTGTATATATGGTTATTTTGCTTAAAAGCAATGGAATAGATCCTTATTTTCTTCTTTTTCTTGAAGCACCACAGAACCATTAATTGTATTCCTCTGCAAAGTCACGTTTGGAAATTATTGCCCCTATTATGCTACAAGCAGAATCAGTGGGAAGATTTTCCCAGAAACCACACAGGTAAGATTTTTACAGTAATACTCTGGCTTGTGGGAATCATTTCTATATACTGTGTCCCACATGGCTGCTTTTTCATCTCTCCCTTTAAAAGTACTTTGAAAAAATGAAAAGAAAGTTGAGCTTTGTGGAGGAAAAAGTGCTGAGTTCTCTGACAGTTTTGGCTCTTGGAGCCATACAGCACTGAAATAATTTATTATTGGCTTTCTCCTTTCCCCTTGCCCTTCAGAATGATGTTTCCTTCTATTAGCTATCTCTATTTTTCATAAAAGCATCAGAGCCTCATTAAGAGGACATCATGATCCCTCGAATTCAGGTGCTCTTGACTCCGGCGGTGTTGTGTGGATGCATTCTGGTACAGAGGGACATCCAGAAGGTGGAAAAGACTTATGACATCTGGCTTCACTGAGTAGCTTCACAGGGCCCTGATTATAAGAAATGAATGAATGCATGAATGAATGAATCAAGAGATAAAAGACTACAGGGAGAAGATTTCCATCTCCAAAGTGTGAAAAGGAGAGTAACTAATGGCAGCTAGTCCCCTTGGCCAGGTCAACTGTGCATTTGTGAGCACTTGGGGGAAAGAAATGGCCCATTAGAAGCTGACTCATAAAATTATTAGCCACTAAATTCTGATCTTAGTTAAGGTGGTAGAAATCCAGAAGGTACTTCAAGTCTGCCAGACATAGCTGGCTTTGACATGGCCATAATCAGATGCTTCGGATGTGACCTTTTGGTGTGAGTCAGTTTTCTGCTGCATTTTATAAAAATCCATCTAGTGGCTCTCTAAAGACTCTACAAAGGGTATTTTGAGCCTACTCACTCCTATGACTCATTACATCTCCAGAGATACTTAAGAAATGGGAGTTTTTTTCACCCAGGGCCTTAGGAGACAGAGTCCTCCAAACTCTCATCTATTGTACTATTTCCATCGTTATCTTATGGGTAGCAAATTCCAGTTTTTAGGTCTTGGCTTCACTGAAAACAGTGGTAGTATTCCCATTAATTTCTGTTCGAACAGGAGTTTACCAGTAGAGCTCTGTAGAGAAAGTTATTCAATGTAAAAGCAAGAGTTATTTTCATGTCTTTCTCTGGATTGTCTTGATGGGAATAAAAGATGTTAAAACATGTTAGCTTTTAGCAGTAAAAAATTATTTAGAGACCTGATCTTGAAAGCTGTAGATCATCTCCAGTGAAGTGATGAGGACCTTAAACTCCCTTCATTCTAGAGAAACAGAAGACTCTTTATGTGACCAGGTCCTCAGATTTGCCCACGTTCCTTGGAAATGTTTATTCTGGCCAAAAAAAGTAGGAAAGACAGAAGCAAGGTCTGTAGCATTTCTGAACAAATGGTAGGAGGAGCCTACGTGAAGCTAGAAATCCCTTCACCAACTTCAAACTGTTGGTCTGTGGTACTGTACATCATATGTTCTTAATTGGGTTTTTTGTGCTTTGTCAATATAGAGCAGTTGGGATACCTGCATCCTTAAGCTGACTTTTAAATAAACTTTCCAGTTACCTTTGCAAAAAGTTATAGGCTTGTCTACAATGGCTGCAAAGCCCCCAGACTCAAGTAAACAAAGTTCTCCAAGTTTTGACCTGTCTGCTGTAAATCTATCACTCCTTGAAATTAAGTCAGACCCAGAGAGTTTGCCCATGCAGAAATATCCCTGAAGCTTACTGCCCAAGCTGGCCAAAGAGGTTTCATGTGTCAACCTGAAATCCATATCAAAAGACTAAAGCTAACTAGCCTCCAGCAGCAGTGAGCATTCAGATTTGACCCAACTCAGAACAGAAATGCTGCCTGCTGGAGGAATTTTTTTCGTGAGGATTTTCCTGAGGACTGGAAGGCTTATCCTCAACCAAAGGGCAGGACAGCAATCATTTGGACTCTGGGCAATTCTCATGTAAGTTATATCATGTAAGCATATCATCTCCAACAGAAAGAATACGTCAGAAAGTGGAGGGAGGAAGGTAAGAGAAAGGAATAAAGACATTAGGAACTGATGAAATAAAAAATATCATGGGAGTTCCAGAATGGATCATTAGACAACAAAGAGGTGAGGATTGAATTTTATTTAGTTTAGTATAAAAATTATAGATACAAAATATATTAATTTGCACGTTGCAATCAAAAGTAAAATTAAATCTTCCCAGCATCTTTTTTTGAAATACTGAGTGAAGGTGAAGATGCTGCTCATATCTTTTGAATATATAGAGGAACTTTCACTGCCCTCTGAACAAGACTAATGTTGCTACTTCTATATCAGCAGAATTGCCGTTTCCCTCTATTAAAGCTTTCAGGCCACCTGGCACATCAGGAACAATTACTATTTGCTGTTATGATTTGCTTTGAAGATTAGAGAGGGAGTTCAGTTATTCAGAGCCAGCTGAGAGTCTCTGGGAGCCAGATGTCTGTCAGTTCCTCTTCAGAGCTGATCAGAGCAGAACCACATTTGCAAGGTTTAAAAGTCAGCACTTTGTCTTTAAATACTTTGACTAGCTATCAAGTCTTGTTATCATAATTACTTGTACTGCATTTGTCAGTGAAATGTTTCCACAGCCTGTCTTTCTCTCCAATTTAATGTGAAATAAGGTTATCACATCTTTCTCTTTCATTTATCATCTAGGGATATCAGCATATTTGGATTCTCCCTGTAGCTAGGTTGTATGACAGCGCATACTATTTCCGTGTAGCTGTACCGGTAAGCTTTTTTCAAATGGGAACCCAGTATCGACAACATCTGAGCTGAGAGAAGATCCTATATTAATCTCCTTTATTTTCCTTCTGCAGGATCTTGCAGACTGCTCAACAGATCTTCATTATGCTGGAATGTTTTTTACTGATTACTACTTCTATTTTTATCGACAGTGTAACTAAAATGTTGCCAATCGTTCTGTTCTTTGGGGAAAAACAATGAAACGCTTGGTATGAAAAAGAGACTTGTGTGTTTCTTTGGATTTTTTAAAACCTTGTGCTGAGTTGTATGGTGTTTTCTAGTTTGTTTTGCTCTTAACTTAAAAAAAGGAGACAAATAAAGCATTTACCCATGATCAAAGCTCCGCACTTCCAGAAACTGCTTTTAAAAGGACATAGTGCAGTGGAGTATCTGATATGCAGAGAAATAATTCTGTTGTGAAGTTACAAGATCTGGTGCATATAACAAAAAGAAATAAGACACTCCAGTCTTCAGAAGACGGTAAGATAATAAAATGTCACTGACAGTCAGGAGGCCTGCTTCGGTCCTACAGTCTTTTCTCTTAGTATTGATTACCATTTTATTTATGTGTGTGTATATATATTTATATATTTTTCCCAAATCACAGAATCACAGAATGGTTGAGGTTGGAAGGGACCTCTGGAGATCATCTACTCCAACCTCCCTACTCAAGCAGGGTCCTCTAGAGCATATTTCCCAGGATCACATCCAGGAGGGTTTTGAATATCTCCAAGAAAGGAGATTCCACTGCCCCTCTGGGCAACCTGCGCCAGTGCTCTGTCACCCTCAAAGGAAAAAAGCTTTTTCTCAGGTTTAGGTGGAACTTCCCGTGGTTCAGTTTGTGCCCGTTGCCTCTTGTCCTCTTGCTGGGCACCATGGAGAAGAGTCTGGCCTCATCCTCTTGACACCCCCCCTTCAGTCTTCTCTTATACTTATACACATTGAGCAGATCCCCCCTCAGTCTTCTCTTCTCCAGGCTCAACAGGCCCAGCTCTCGCAGCCTTTCTTCAAAGGAGAGATGCTCCAGTCCCCTCATCCTCTTTGTAGCCCTCCACTGCACTCTCTCCAGTAACGCCATGTCTCTCTTGGACTGGGGAGCCCAGAACTGGACACAGTACTCCAGATGAGGCCTCACCAGGGCTGAGTAGAGAGGGAAATCACCTTCCTCGACCTACTAGCAACACTCTGCCTAATGCACCCCAGGATACCATTGGCCTTCTTGGCCGCAAGGGCACACTGCTGCCTCATGCTTAACTTGTTGCCCACCAGCACTCCCAGGTCCTTCTCGGCAGAGCTGCTCTCCAGCAGGTCAACCCCCAGCCTGTACTGGTGCATGGGGTTATTCCTCCCGAGGTGCAGGACCCTGCACTTGCCTTTGTGGAACTTCAGGAG